TGAAAAATATAAACACTCTCACTCACTTTAACATAATAAAAAAATGAAATAAAAGGTTAAAATAAAATTGGAAACTTCATCAAAATTTCTAAAATTTCCTCTTCTCCTACATAAACTATTGAATCCAACAGTGAAACGTTGTTCTTACGAATTAAAGATAATTTTTAATGAATATCTGTTGTGCTCCTTTGCTCACAAATTTTCAAAATAAAAGCRTGCATCCGTGCAGATATAAATGTATATCCAGCATCTTTGATATTTTTATGATTTTCAATATATATTTCACATTTAGGAATCAAATTTAACAGTTTAACGAGGATTGTAGATTTTGAAGAACAGAACTTCTTTCTTGTCAYTTTCGAGTTTCTGGAGACGACTTACAAAGGTCAAAGGTCACCTCGAGTCAGTGAGGACTCCTTTAACGTGTGGACAGACTGGCTGCAGGTCCTCAGCAGATTATTAGCTTACAAGAGACACATCATAAAGTTTGTTTTGTTCTTTGTTCAGGTCTTTGTGTCTCCAGCTCCTCCTCCTCCTCAGACCTCCTCCTCTCACAGCTCCCTTCAGACAGACCAGTGGTCGTTTTACTTCTCGGGCCCTTGGGGGTCTCCTCCTGTGGCCCCTCTGCCTCGTTGGCCTTCAACAGCTCTCCAGCGGAGGTGGCGTACCTCTGTGACCCTGACACCCCGCAGGTCCGCGTGAGGGAAGGCCTGAGCGTCGCTCACGAAGAGAAAATCACAGACGGTGTTTGTATTTTCAGCTGCGAGTGTCGGAAACAAACTGTGGTGAGTTTGGAGGAAACACAAAAACACAGAGAAGTGGTTTTTAACCACTTTTAAAATAATTACTTCTGTTTATTTTAATTGGTTGTTGAATACTGTTCTAGAAAAGCATGTTTGTCCAAAACTGTTAACACTTTATTATAGTTTATTTTACATAAAAGTACTTTTTCTGTTTCAAAACATGAAACATATTGTGTAAAATGATGCAATAAATTGAACAATTACGTAWTTTTTTTCCTCATTCGATTTCACTAATGTTTAAAGAAAGAAAAACGAACTAAAACGCTAATCAGAAAACAAACATGAAAGTGTTGAAATCAGCCACGTTAGCTATAAAGCTGAAACTGAGTTGCTAAAGCGAAAAGCAGCAGAACATGGGCTTAAAGCTAAACAGAGCAAAATGCTATGAAAGGCAAAAGTTACAAAAGTTTAACTTGAAGTAGAAAATCAGTGGTGAGAAGCTGAAAATAGCAAAATGCTACCCAAAAGCTAAATGTATCAACAGGTTAAATATTGGTAAAAAAACAGCTAAAAGCATCCAAAGGTAGCTAAAAGTAGCAAAAGGCTAATTATAGCACTCAGATAGTAATATTAATCATAGGCAAATTTTAAATGAATACATTTTGGAGCCATGGAGGTAAATAGAACAACTGAGGGAGTGGAAACCATGTGACTGTGTGATCCGTGGATATATATCATACTGCAGAAGCTAAGCTAAGCGGCTAAGCTAAAGTCTGGATACCAATACTGTACATGTTGGCAACATAGTTAAAAAAGGACTGATGATGTAGAAATCATAAAAACTGTTAATAATAATACAATTATTCTTATTATTTTAGAGTGTATATAATCTATCTAATGTTTTAAATAATGTCAGAAAGCTGTGCGTTATGGATTTACCAAGAGAAAAGTCTTTTATCATAAGTAGGCTTATGTTCTCCCAGTCTGTTGTGTTTGTCCACAGGTCTTGATTGGGTTGTGCCGAACTGTAATTTCCATTCATTCATTCATTCATTCATTCATTCATTCATTCATTCATTCATTCATTCATTCATTCATTCATTCATTCATTCATTCATT